CTGAAGTAACAGACCTACCTTCCATTTGGAATCCTTGGCCTGGATTTAGTATTCTAAAACTCTGGACGTGACCAATATGGCTTGTGCAGAATTAGACCTGTTACAAGTGCTGGGTGATACTATTAAATAAAATGCCACCAACAACTATTATGGCAGACTCCTGTGTAAGGTGTGAGCTGTGTCTAGTGTCACTCCAGGTGCATGTTAGAGGTGGCCTAAATTGTACCCTGTGAGATTATTAGTAGCTGGTGGAGCCAAGACACCTACATCTGCCGGACTTGGAAGCAACATGGCTCGGCCTTCCAGCCCCTTAACTGGTAGAAACCAAGAAGGGAGAAGACCAGCAAGAGCCCTGAGGTTGGCTGGACCTGGTCATACATGCCTTTAATCCCAGCACTCAGAAAGCAGAGGCAAGCAAATCTGAGTTCAAGGCCAGCCTAGTCTACATTGTGAGTTCAAGGCCTGCTAAAGATGCACAGGGAGACCCTGTCTAAAAGAAAATTAAACAAGAACACTGAAGTTATGAAGGGTTCCAGAACCAGTTCCCTCACTGGACAATGTCCAGAATCATCTTTGCTGTACTGCCTCCCAGATGCGTGCAGTACATGCATCTAGTAAAAGTAGTGCGTTTAGTGGCCAAGCTGCCAGTCATAGGTTCCAGTGGTGTGCTGCAGCTGGTATGTGCTTCTTTGCAGTGAAGTCATCCTTTTTAGGGTACATTTCCATCCTTGGGATCTGCAGCTGTGGTTACTGATCATTGGCTAATGCACTACTAGTGAGGTTGCAGTCTGGGGTTATGGCCAAGTATCCTAAATGTTGAAAATGGAAGCATTGATATCATCTATAAAGATGGGTAGAGAAAGGTATCAAGTATCTCTCTAGCCTAGAAGTTAGCAAAAACAAGTAAAGCTACTACTAGTTCAAGGCCAGTTTGGACTAATGAAACACACAAATTCCCAGCCATGGTGGCACATGCTTTTAATCCTATCACTTGGGAGGCAGAGGCAGATTAATCTCTGCTATCAAGGCTGGCCTGGGCTACAGAGAGAGTTCCAGGACAGCTAGGGCTATGCAGAGAAACCTTGTCTTGAAAAACCAGAACAACCCACAAATGAAACAAATTAACAAGAGAGCAGACCTGGTGACACATGCCTTTAATACCAGAACTCAAGAGGGCAGCTGATGGTGATCTCTGTAAATTCAAGGCCAGCCTGGTCTACAGAGCAAGTGCCAGGATAGGCTCCAAAGCTGGTATGTGCTTCTTTGCAGTGAAGTCATCCTTTTTAGGGTGCATTTCCATCCATCAGGAGATCCGCCTGCCTCTGCCTCCTGAGTGCTGGGATTAAAGGTGTGTGCCAACAACACCCAGCCTTTTTTTGTTTTTGTTTTTTGTTTTTTCAAGATAGGATCTTAGTAGATCTGGCTGTCCTAGAACTCACTCTGTTGATCAAGAGATCACAGAGATCCACCTGCCTCTGCTTCCTGAGTGCTGGGATTAAAAGTGTGTGCCACTACTGCCTGGCTAGCTAATCTCATTTTAAGATTTTTATGAGTCTTAATTGCATGTATGTATGTGCATCACATGCATGACTGGTACCTGTGGAATTCAGAAGAGAGTGTTGTGTCCTATGGAACTGGAGTTAGAAATGGTTGTGAGTCACCATGAAGGTGCTGGGAATGGAGCCCTGATCCTTTGTAAGATCAAATGGTCTTAACCACTGAACAATGGCTCCAGCATCACTAATCTGTTTTGACTTCTTTCCTTCAAGATGCTTTGCCTTCCTGGGAAGTATATCCAACCTGGTCCCCAGGTACTTATGGCACTGTTCCACTGAGGAATCACTCTGCAAAGGTGGGTCAGGTACTCTTTTTTTTTTTTAATTTATTCATTTATTATGTATACAACATTCTGCTTCCATGTATATCTGGACACCAGAAGAGGGCACCAGATCTCATAACGGATGGTTGTGAGCCACCATGTGGTTGCTGGGAATTGAACTCAGGACCTCTGGAAGAGCAGTCAGTGCTCTTAACCTCTGAGCCATCTCTCCAGCC